ATCAACGATGTTGGAGTAAACCTGCCCTCCAACCTCCCTCTTCATACCGAAGGCCCCAATGGCGGTGTTCACATGCGTTTCCCCACCTGGTACTGCCCTTCGTGGCCCCATGTGGAGCTCCACTGATGGTGTTCGCATGCGTCTCCCCCACCCAGCAGAGCCCTTCGTGGCCCCATGGGGAGCTCACCGAAGGCCCCAGTGGCGGTGTTCGCATGCGTCCCCTCCTCTCAGTGGCGACGTTCGCATGGCGGCCCCGCTCCACTTCGCTACACTTCACAGGTTTCGTGGCCCCATATGGAGCGCCACCTGCGCCCGCGTGCGCCCCCGCCCCATTTCGGCACATCCTTTGCACGCTTCGCGGCCCTGTAAAGAGATCGACCAAAGGCAATGCCCGCAACGGCGATGCTCACAACGCCTGGACAGTGAAGACGGATGTGCGCGGCGCGGAGGCGAGAGTCATAGTTTGAACACCGCCCGCCGTAAATTTGTGAAATTCGTGCAAATTGTTAAGCCGAAAGTGCGCGGCGCGAAGCCCCTTGAAACCGCGGTTTGAAAGCCGCCCGGCCTCGATCCGTGAAGGTCTTGCAAATCTGTCCCGCTCATCTTGTGGTGTTGGGTCCTCGTACTGATCAGAGACAGCCCCGCCTTCCGTCCTTCCTCCCTTACTTCTTCCTCCTCCCCCTCCTCCTCCTCCTCCTCCTCCTCCTCCTCCTCCTCCTCCTCCTCCTCCTTTTCCTCCTCCTCCTAGCCGCCGCGAGGGGTTCAGGAGCGCGCTCGGCGATACCGAAAGCGACCCTTTTCTTCACCCTCCACAGGCTCGCCCCCCAGCTAGTACCAGGCCAGGCGAGGGGGAGGCGTAGGCGGGCACCACAATTACACACATGGCATGCGCATTCTTACGTACAACCCACTAGCCGCCAACACAGTGGAACGTCTTGTGGATATTAGCGACGAACTAAAGGACTGGGATATAATACTACTTTGTGGAACACAGGAATGGGCAGGTCCCGAAGCTGTGCGCAAGGTAATGCTACCCAACCACTGGTGTCTGCGAATTGGGGCCAGGAAGGGGAAATACATCACGAAAGCATGTGGGTTGGCCATTCTAGTACACAGACGAATGGACCAAAATTGCTTGCGTGAGATTTACACCCCACCCACGTCGCTGCAAGGAAGAGTCGCAGGAGTGAAGCTAGCCACGAGTACCATGGATCTGGCCATCTTCCCAGTATATTATGCCCCTGTGCACACCAAACGGTACGATGAGATAGGAGCACGTATAGGGGACTGGTTGGAGACCACCACTGACAGATTGGGTACAAGGACGTTCATTGTGATTGCAGGCGATGTGAACAGCGACTTTGGACTACACCGATCAACAGACGGAATTGTACAAAAAACTATCAACAGCTGTTTAGGGACCTACGCAAAGACTATTGAAAACGAGAAAGGTACCGCGTTCAGGAAGATGTGCCAGAGCAGCGATCTCAGCATTATTACCACCAACTACGACACTGGGCCCACCTATTTCGGCCCAAGAGGTGGGACCAGTAAAGTGGACCACATTGCCCTCCCAGCAGGTGCCACCACCCTTGTCCAACGGTGTATGGTGCTACACGCATCGGGGAAGCGCCTCCAACTTATAAAGTCCAGAGGAGCTAGAGACCACCTCCCAGTAGGAGTAGTACTCGACCCGAGGATCCGACACCAGGCGGGCAGGAGGCGGCACCAGCGCGAGTACCTGGACAGGGACGCGCTGATGAGCTGCCTACGGAAGGGAACAAGGAGGGAAGCATGGCAGGAGAAGGTGGAGGAGGAGCTGAGGAAGGTAGAGGAGCAGGAATGGCAGGTCCTCCTCGAGCAACCCACTCCAGACAGAGCGTGGCAGAGATACGGAGATGCGGTACGCACAGCACTACACGACACATTCGGGAAAAAGAAGATGGCCCCAGACCCGTGCGTGGAAGCACTCAGGGAGACTAGGATGACACTGCTGCGCCAACGCCGAGAGCTACGCCACGCCTTGGGACCGAATATCGACGACGAGGAGCTTGAGAACACCCGACAAAGCCTCAAAGAAGTCACGGCCACGCTGAAGAGGATCCGAGACGGCTACGAGAAATCCCGAAAGGAACGACTCGTCGAGGAAATCTGGGAGGCGTCAGAACGTGGCGACTTTGCGCAGATGCACAGGCTGAGGATCGAGTACCAGGCGAACGGACGAGGCCCCAAGAAAAGGTACTTCTTCGCCCCTCGGACGCACTGGGACGCTGAACAGTGGACCCAGGAACTCTCGAAGTCACCACACGAGGGGGGGCTAGCAGCACAGGTACTGGATCTGGAGGAACAACTCCGCGAGCACGAGCACTGGCACTCCGAGCGACTCCCACTCCCGATCGATACCGACCTCCGACATCGAGCAGAGCAGGACGGGAGAGACATGCTGAGGTATTGCAGGAAAGCCAAGAAGCGTCGAGCATGGCCAGAGTGGGGGCTCCCTGTTGAGGCGACTCTACTTCTGCTTGATCCCACGGTCAACATGAAAGGCGCCAATGAGCGCGGTGATAGTTACAACGCGCAGGCGATCAAGGTTGAAAGAGACGAAGAAGAACGCCACAGGTTCACGATCGAGCACCGACTCCAGCGAGGCAGAGAGCTGTTAGAGAGGCTAGGCTGGAAAGGAGGAGGGCTAGGAGTACGAGGAGGAGTGCCTACCGACCCTGCTATGCTTACAAACGACTACACAGTAGGACGTGCGCCGAGAGCTGGACTGGGTGTTGCGAAGAATGACGGGCAGGGAACACATGTAGCAAGCAGGAGGCTGAACGACATCTTGGTGATGATACGTGCTACCCAAACCACCCCCCTCTCTTGGCACAGGTCGATGGCATTCGGAGCAGACAAGGCGAACGGTAAGCACGGTATTTTGGGAAAGCGCATTATGCACGCGTACTGCAGCACGAGCATGGCATGGCATGCAGGCATTCATCGCAGGGGTCAGTTGGAGCAGCACGCAGCATGGGCGCAGGGGGGGCTACCACACCGGTGCAGAGAGAATGCGATAGCGACAATACTCACCACAAAGTGGAAGTCCGACCAGCTCGGATATAGCAGCGTGCACACCAACTACGACTGCTCGAACGCATTTGCGTCCACCAATCGCACCCTCCTCCAAGCTGTGGCCTTTAAACAGGCTGATGAATGGGACCAACCACATGCAGTAGGAGCAATCGAGAAAACTGCCATGACCATAGAGGCTGCGGATCAGACTATTAGTTACGAAAGCACCACAGGCGCCCAGATGGGCTTCACGACAGCACCACGACAGTTCAACGATGCTTACAACATATACGTTGCCCAGTGGAACGAAGACCTGCGCACGGAACCGACACAACGATTGCACGACACACCCCACCCGATATTTGGTAGTATACTGGACCTCGGAATTAACACGTTCATGGATGACATCACCAAGACGCATATAATCCCACACCAGGCTAATGCAGGTGAAGTCACCTACCAGGTCAACACAGCCACAGGGAAACTAGAAAGCAAGCTGGAGGCTGGGAACTGGAAACTTAATGCGGGGAAGACCAACCACCTCCTGGGACTACGAGGCACAGGGAGCTACGGTACCACAAGAGCCCTAAGACGTAGCAAGCAAATCCAAGGCACACCACTCCGAGAAATGCGAGTGCTAGGACCATACCTCCCATCCGACCAAGGCCTATCGGGAGAAGTGCGTCGCCGCTGCGACGCGATACGCCTAGCATGGAGACAGGGTGGCACTTTTTGGGGTTCACGGTGCAATTACGACGTCAAACGCCTCATGTTTATCGCATTTGTACTGGGTGCAGGGCTTAGCGGACTCACGGCCATGGTACTTCCAACAGCCAGCACTGATGCCATCGACGCCCTGCTAGGAAAATATATGAGGACACTGGCACGAGGAGCGATGTCATGGACCAAAGCAGATGGCAGCATTCGCTGCAAAACCACGGCGCAGGTATTCAAATACTGGAGAATGGACCGAGCTGCCACGGCACTACGTGTGCGACGACTCAAGTGGTACCAGAAGTGGGCACTACACCCCCAACAACATGCGAACGTGGTTGCAGCTATATTCGGGGACAGCACTATGGACAGACTGGCCAACATTCGACGCCTGTTACCAGGCGATAGGATAGGGCCAGACTCCACACCCATGGCGAAACAATACAAGGAGGACCTCGATGCGCTATCACTTATCGACGAGAATATGCACGAATGGTACACACGCAGGCGGTCAGACCTACACATTCTTACACCTGGCACGGAAGAATGGCAACAATGGACGACAATGGACCCCAGCATACTCAGCAGTGCCTCCAGGACCTGGAACAACCAAGCAGGAGACATTGATGAAGGCAGAGCAGACGACCAAATAGCGAAGGCCTACTGGTGCGACTACCCATGTGAAGACGACGACGGACAAACACAATGCTGTGGGAAACGCTTCACGACAGCACAGGCATTACAGGCTCACAAAAGGGGGGCGCACAACTTGAGGACTTTACTATCGCAGATGATTATTACCAATCAATGCCCTTGGTGTTGGAGCACATTCAATACAAGAAAAACGGCAATTGATCATGCACACCGCTCGGCTGACAAGTACGGAGTGTGTCACATTGACTACAGCAAATGGGCGCACGAAGTACAGGCCCCACCAACACTAACATGCAGCTTATGTGGCCATGAGGCTCAAACCCTCCGCTCCTTTCAGTTGCACGTGAGAGAACATCACGAAGGCCCAGCAGACGTTGTACAGCGCACGTGCGATGGCCCTCCCTGCAGCAGAGTGGCAGCTCGCAGGGGCAGAGCCCAAGCGGGTAGCTGCCAAGAGAGGCGCCGCCGAAGCCGCAGTCGACGGAGGCAGCGGGACGAGCAGCGGCGGAGGCGGCAGGCGCCCCCCCAAAGGTTCTGGCAAGGGAGCCGAACCGTCCGACGGCAGCTACGAGGACAGGCTGGCGGTGACGATGAAGCTCTCGCTGCGCAACGCGCAGGACATTCGCGAGCTCTACCACGCCACCTCGGACTTCTGGCTCCTGCCAGCATCGTCGCCCCCGTTCATCGCGGGCATGGAGGCCGCCAAGCAGTATGGACAAGCAGTACGCGCAGCAGGCAAGAAACACGGTCTCGGACCCCCCCACGTCCACATCTGCAGCGCCATGCTCAGGGAGATGTACGAAGCGCTGGACGGCGACACAGGGAGCACCACCGAGAAGACAGCCAAGGGCGTCATCCGCGAGTACATCGAGGCGACGACGGGCAAGATTGGACCACAGATCATACAAGAAACAGTGCTCTCCTGGAAAGTCAACGAGGCCTACAAGCGCGACGACCTGGACGAGTCCGAGCACAAAGGCAAACTGCAGTACACGCTCAACCCGCTCCCGACCCTCGTGCCGCACCTGATGTCACAGGAGCCAGGCGAGGCGGTCCTGACCATGGCGAGGGGCTACTCGCCGACGAAGCTCAAGGAGGCCTTGACGACGGCGATCCTGGTGCTGAACGGCGTCAAGGGGCAGGGAGCGGCGCCCAAGAGCGCCCTGGAGAGGGCGGTCGAGGCGAGCCTACGCAGGCGCTGAGGTCGGGTACAGATCACTACCGGAGCTCGACGGCACCAACCGTCCCAACGACGGTAGGCCTCGGTACGTCCCCACCTCTGGCCTCGCCTCCGTGGCCTCCTCAGCGAGCGGAGGAAAAAATTGCCCATGAGATTTCTCTCGACCCAGCACGTTTTGGGAAGCTCACACAACAGCGTGCGGTTAGTGAACGGTTTAATGAATTATACAGACTCGCATTGTCATACAGGGCGAGGAGAAGGAGAATGATGCAAGGTTTGGGCCTAGAGGAGCCTCAGCACCCCGAGAGACCCACAGGGAGCTCAAGCAGTAAGGAGGCCCACGACACGACCGAGCCATCATCACAGCAGCCACATCATAAAGGACCCGACGAGACCCAGTAACCTCCAGAGGCCCCCCTTGGGCAGGGATCCTACTAGGATGTACGTTGTTTCCCGACTCTCCGACCTCCGACCCCAGCAAGAAGTGGTGCCCCACCGTTCTTGGTTACCGTTGCCACCTACTGGTTCAGACGGCCTCTCTTCTCTTTGTGACACCGCACCTTTATTATTTTGGCCCAACCAGCAGCAGCCTCCGACTTTCGTTTCTTGTGCACAGAGCCGCATTGGCGGCATTACTTCTCCGACGGCTGCTGTATATGGCGAAGTCTTCAGCATGGTGCCCCGCAGATTGCGGAACAGAGCAAAGCATACCCATGCCTCAAATCTCGTACTTTGATGTAAGATATGCAAGCCCCATGGGAAGACTCATCATGGGCAATGAACGGTTGAGAACTACGAAGCCGCTGCTTGAACAACAAGTCCCAGCTGTTCAGGAAGCTCTGAAGGCACTGACCAGACAGCATGGACTTATTCGATTAGCACTACAGCGCCTGGCTCCACCAATGGAATATGATCTGGAAGAGCAGCTTGAGAAGCAAGAAGTTGTTCGCAAACTCGAGAGCCAGGCTCTTCAGGTGCAGAATGCTATGAATGGGCTGAAGTACACATTGGGCATACTTCGTAATGAAGATGAAGCCATGATCCCGCCCTGGCCAGATGCGATCAACTATGTGTATGAACTACTGGCCACGCATGAGCAGCATGACAACGACGGGCCTCCCCAAGCAAGGCAGTGACACATTACTCCAGTGACTCATTACAGATGATTGAGGGGAGCTGGTTGGGAGCTGCTACAAACACCGAAATAGGACGGTGGTGCATACGACGGCTGACTCACAAATGTGATTTTCTCTCCGCAGAGGACTGCAAAGTGACGAGGGTCAGATGATCTCCCATCCACTCCCCATGCCACATTGAATGAGATTTGTATTTTGAGTTTATCACTTCTTGCCCGCGTACAGGAAGGGCAGGAGATGGGCAGGGGAGGCCGCCGACCATGACGGCGAGCGGCTGCAGCAGCCGCCTCTCTCTCTTCTCTCTTTTGTTGCTGGTTGGTGCTATTCTTTTACCTCTGTTTCTACTTTTCGCCGTCGGACTAGACGGCCCGAGAGCGCTTCTTGAGAGGCTCCCTCGCCCAGAGGGTCAGGGAGCTCTCCTCCGCCCGCGAGGGCAGAAGTGTCCCCCTCCCCCACCCACTCGCCGAGTTGGGAGGACGACTTCGGGTCCCTCTCTACTTAGCGGGGATGCGGGGGGCATTTCTACCCCACTTCGAGGTCAGCGGACCTCGCCGCTGATCCGTCTGCCAGGCAGGGGCGGACTGGCCCCCCTCCTGGCACGCGGTGGCAGGCCCCACCACGAAGGTGGGGGGCATACTGCACAGCTCTTACGCAGGGGTCAAAGGCCTCTCGATGCTCCAGAGGCCTGCGAAGACCCCCAAGCGCCTGACCCTGACCCTGACCTGACCCTCCTCCTCCTCCCCCCCTTTCTCCCCCATCCCTGCCTCTGCCCCCCCCCCCAGGTCCATATCGGCACGCCCATCGCACGCTTCGTGCTCCCAGTGGGGAGCTCCACCGCGCTCGCATACGCCTGCTTGACCCACTTCGGCACCCCCCTCGCGCGTTTTTCGTGGATCCACTCGGAGCTCCACCGAAGCCTCCAGCGACTGCGCTATCACGCGCTCGCCGTACCCATTTCGGCACCCCCCTCGCACGTTTCGTGGCCCCGCAGGGGGCCCCACCGAAGGCCCCAGTGGCTGCACTCGCATGCGCCCGCCGCACCCGTGTCGACACCCCCCCCGCACGTGTCGTGGCCCCATGGGGAGCGCCCCAGTGGCTGCGCTCGCCTGCGCCTGCCGCACCCATCCCGACTCACCCCTCACAGGTTTGGTGGCCCCATAGGGAGCTCCACCGAAGAACCCAGTGACTGCGCTCGCATGCGCCCGCCGCTCCCATTTCGGCACACCCCTCACACGTGGCCCAACAGGGAGCTCCACCGAAGGCCCCAATGGCTACGTTCGCATGCGCCCGCCGCACCCATGGCTACGTTCGCATGCGTCGCCCGCCGGAACAGTCTCGTTGGAAGGCACCCGTTTGAAGACCGAGAAGCACGCCAAAACATTCTTGGCATTATAACGCCACGGATTAACCTAATTGATGCGTCTTGACGATCTTAAGTCGTGCCGGAACGCCTTTCTTATGATTTCAAAACACCATATTTGGAACGTTGATGGTAGGAACCCGTGAAACTCTTGATCAATTTGTAAACGAGTGCGCGCGGCGCTAAGGCGAGAGCAACATTTTAAAAAGGAACCGCACGAATGTGCGCGGCGCTAAGGCGGGAGTCACATTTTTGAAAACGACCCGCCCTCAATCCGTGAAGCTTTTGCAAAACTTTGCAACGAATGTGCGCCGCGCTAAGGCGAGAGCCACATATTGGGAATGACCTGCCCTCCATATGTGAAGCTGTTGCCAATTTTTGAGCTTCAGAGAAAGTCTCCGGCGAAACGCCCGGCCCACCCAAAAATTTGGCTTCGTGGTGCGACAGGGAGAGGTTATTGCGAAGGCCTGACGGCCGGTGCCGCCGACCCTGTTCGCAATGCGCAGCAAGAGGCACGGGCTGTGGGATGGTTTGGGGGAACGGGGAGAAGGACGAGAAGGTGGGGGAGGGAGGTGTCGTATCTGACCCGGGACTTCCCCGGGACTCCCCCGGGACCCCCCCCGGGACCTCCTCTCCCCCCCCGTCGGGGAAGGGAAAGGGAAGGGGCTTCCCTTCGACTCAATGACGACGTTGCTCAAGGTCGGTACGGGGGGGGGGCGTCGTATCTGACTCGGGGGGGGGTCGCTACCCCCCCCGCTACCCCCCCCCCCTCCCGGCGGGGGAGGAATGAAAGGGAAGGGGCTTCCCTTCGACTCAATTACGAGGTTGCTCAAGGTCGGCTTGGCTGGAGCCCAGGGGAAGAGGAGTCCCAGGGGGGGGCGTCGTATCTGACCCGGGGGGGGGGGTCGCTACCCCCCCCCCCCTCCCGGCGGGGGAGGGATCAAAGGGAAGGGGCTTCCCTTCGACTCAATTACGAGGTTGCTCAAGGTCGGCTTGGCTGGAGCCCAGGGGAAGAGGAGTCCCAGGGGGGGGCGTCGTATCTGACCCGGGGGGGGGGTCGCTACCCCCCCCCCCCTCCCGGCGGGGGAGGGATGAAAGGGAAGGGGCTTCCCTTCGACTCAATTACGAGGTTGCTCAAGGTCGGCTTGGCTGGAGCCCAGGGGAAGAGGAGTCCCAGGGGGGGGCGTCGTATCTGACCCGGGGGGGGGTCGCTACCCCCCCCCCCTCCCGGCGGGGGAGGGATCAAAGGGAAGGGGCTTCCCTTCGACTCAATTACGAGGTTGCTCAAGGTCGGCTTGGCTGGAGCCCAGGGGAAGAGGGGGGCGTCGTATCTGACCCGGGGGGGGGTCGCTACCCCCCCCCCTCCCGGCGGGGGAGGGATCAAAGGGAAGGGGCTTCCCTTCGACTCAATTACGAGGTTGCTCAAGGTCGGCTTGGCTGGAGCCCAGGGGAAGAGGTCTCCCAGGGAAAGGGAAGGACAGAGACGACGAGTACAAAGAATGACGGAGATGACGGCTCGAACGGAAAAGCCCCTCACACACGCCGACAGGGTCGGCGGATTTATCATAAGAAAAAGGATGGGGAGGAGGAGGAGGAGGAGGAGGGGAGGAGGAGGAGGAGGAGAGGAGGAGGAGGAGGAGGAGGAGGAGGAGGAGGAGGATGGGGAGAGGGAGGGGGAGGGGGAAGGGGGAAGGGGGGGGGAGGGGAGGGGGAGGGTGGGAGGGGGAGGGGGAGGGGGAGGGAGGGGGAGGGGGGGGGGGGGAGGAGGGGGGGGGAGCCGCGTGCCTGAAACATTCGAGTGGCAGCCAGCGCGGCGCCCCGCCAGCAGGAAGTCGCCTGGATACCCGTGCCAGACGATGTACTTTCACATTCCACGCCCATCCATCTCTTCCATTTCTTTTCTCACACCTCCCAGTTGTCAGATTACCATTGTTTCCACACTGGTACGCAGCGCCACCACGAACTCCACGTCTTCCACCTGGGAGCCAGCGTGGCACCGACGCGAACGTTGAGAACGTGATGCAACGCGTACGCTACTCAGAGTTACGGCCGCACGACAGGTACTTGAATCACTCCACAGCGCCCAACAACGACCCCGACATCCGCCACAAGCTCCAGCAATGGCGGTACCGTGGCGACCAACGTCCAGCCGAACGCCCGGCAGAGGCCCACCTACGCAACCCACTACACCATCGATCGGCTCATTTTCGGACATGTGTAGGAACAACCAGTGGACGGCCCAACGGGTAGCCTAACCTCCCTGACGTCTATTGGAGCAAGGCGCCAACGGCAAGGGCAAGGGTACCAACGGCAGGGACTGAGGCAGTTTCCCCGAGCCATGCGACGACCGCGGCATCCTGCAGAAAAGGCAAACATGAATACACTATGGGCGTTGGCAAGGGGAGACAACAATCCCACCATGAAGGGGGCGTCCCCCGCTAAGAGTAAGCAGCGCGAAACCAACCAGGACTACAATGACCACCTCGCCGGGACCATCGACAACGGCATGCCCGTTCGCAAGGTTTACGCTGCCAGTAGGCCCGATTGTGAGACGCAGCCAAACGACTCTTGCATTGAAGGGGT